ACATAGAAAGTAATACCACCAGGGCTGCTAGAGTCAAAGAGCTGTTAGTTGGCTGCTACAAACCCACTGAGGCCTTCATCTCTGGCTTGCTGGACAAGATCCGGGACATGCAGAAGCTGAGCACACCCCAGAAGAAGTAGGGCCCTGACCCAGGTGACCATGGCTCCCACAGGACAATCGCTGACCCCCAACCTCGTAGCAACAACAATACCGGGAATCCTGCAGCCAGGCCATGTGCTAGGAACAGGAATCCCGCGCCCCTGCCTAGGGGCCACTTACCTCAGTTTTCCATTTTTGAGGGGTTTTTTTTTTATTGTTATTAAACTGATGGGACTTAAAAAAAAAAAAAGAGGTTTCTCTCATTCAATTCGGATCTTGATCAACTTCGATGGTATCTAGAGCCTTTCTTTTCCCGTAGACACAAAGGCAAAACCCCTATTCCAATGTAGCACATATCCTGGTTTCCATACTGAGGTCAATAAATACATCCTTGAAATACACTGGCTGGTTTAGTTTAGAAGTTTTTTTCTATTGTCCTGTGTCTTTCTGCAGCTGTTTTTCCTTTTTCATCAGCATTAAGAAAGTTTAATGTTAGTAAAGCATTATCTAATCTGTGTTTGGATGTCTTGGTTCCTCCTGCCTGTTTATGGAGCATTTCCTTTAAAGTACGATTGGATCCCTCAACTACTGCTTGTCCTGTAGGACTGTGTGGTATACCAGTTATGTGCTTTATGTTATAATACTCAAAAAACTGTTTCAATTTGCTGGAGACATATGCTGGAGCATTGTCAGATTTTATATGTGCAGGTATGCCCATAATGGCCATTACCTCTAATAGGTGTGTTATAACAGAATCAGCCTTTTCAGAGCTCAGAGCAGTGGCCCATTGAAACCCTGAAAATGGGTCTATAGTGTGGTGCACATATTTTAATTTTCCAAATTCTGCAAAATTAAACACATCCATTTGCCAGATTTCATTCCTATTTATACCTTTAGGGTTACTGCCTTTTGGTAAAGGAGTTTGGTTATAGAATGAGCAAGTAGGACATTTCCTTACTATTTCCTTAGCTTGTTGCCAAGTGATGGAAAAAATCCTTTTTTAAACCTTTGCTGTTCATGTGGTATTTCTTATGAAACTCTAAGGCCTCCAGCTCACTTCCTATTAATAACTGATCAATTTCATCATTGCCTTGTGCTAGAGGACCGGGCAGACCCATCTGGGATCTGATGTGTGTTATATATATAGGATGAGTCCTCTTTCTGATAGTATCTTGTACTTGTATAAACCTTGAAGTTAATTCTGTATCACTAGAAATAAATTCAGCAGTCTCAATGTGTAAGATGACTCTCTCTGCGTATTGAGTCAGTAACTATATTGAGGGGTTCTGTAAAATCCATAAGTACCATGAGAATGGCATACAAGTCTGCCTTGTGTATAGAGTTATAAGGGCTTTGAACTGCTTTACTTATCTTTCCTGACTTATCTCCTGCCTTACCTGACTTGTTTGCATCAGTGTAGAATGTAGGGACTCCAGAGGTTGGTGTTTTTCTTACAATGTGTGGAAGGATCCAAAATGTTTTCTCTATGAATTTGATTCTCTCACTTTTGGGATAATTGTTGCTAATCGTTACCAAAAAGTTACTGCAAGCTCTCTGCCAATATTCATCATCTTTCCATAAGGAGGAAATTTCCTCATTTGTTAAAGGTACTATAATTTCTGCCAGGTCTCTTCCTGTTAGTTGATAAAGTCTTAATTTACCTTTTAAAATCAAGTCACAGATCTTTTCTACATATGCTTTTTATTCTGTTTATGTGGTAGAAATATCCATTCTAGTATGATATCTTCCCTCTGCATCAAAATCCCTGAAGGATACTCTCTAGATGGTAATATGACCAGAATACAGGCTAGGTTTGGATCCACACGGTCCACATGTGCTACTAGTAGCCTCTTTTCTACCCATTCTAATTCCTTTTCAGCTTCAGCTGATAGTATTTGTGGACTATTTAAGTCCTTGTCTCCTTTTAAGGCCATTTTCAAGTTTTTCAAATCATGCCCTTCTACTCCAATAATGGTCTGTAGTTGAGAAATCTCTCCCAGTAATTTTTGAAGATCATTAAGCGTCTGGTAGCGATCTCTTCTGATCTGTACTTTTTGTGGTCTAATTTTCTGTAGACCTATTTTATATCCTAAGTAACTGATAGAATCTCCTCTTTGTATTTTTTTCAGGTGCAATTTGTAATCCCCAGTGAGGAAAAAACTCTTTTATTTCCTCAAACATTTTTTAAAATAATATTTCTACTTTAGAATCAGACAACAATATATCATCCATGTAATGGTAAATTATGGACTGTGGAAACTGTTTACAAATTACTTCCAAAGGTTTTTGCACAAAATATTGGCACAGGGTGGGGCTATTTAGCATTCCCTGCGGCAAAACCTTCAATTGATATCTCTTGACCAGCTGAGAATTATTGTAATTAGGTACAGTGAAGGCAAATTTTTCTTTGTCTTTTTCTTGTGAAAGTATAGTGAAGAAGCAATCTTTTAAATTGATAACTATAATGGGCCATTCTTTAGGTATCAGAGAAGGCAAGGGCATTCCAGGCTATAGAGAACCCATTGACTGAATAATTTTATTGATGGCTCTAGGTCTATAAGCATTCTCCATTTTCCAGATTTCTTTTTGATAACAAATACAGATGAATTCCAAGGGCTGGTTGATTCTTTAACATGTCCAGCATTTAGCTGTTCCTGGACCAGGTTTTCTAAAGCCTGTAGCTTCTCAGAGATCATAAGCCTACCCAGACAGGTTCAAGTGTTAGCCGTTTTAAGGGTAGGGCTTTTGGTTCCTCTGTTAGTTTGGCACTTGTATTACATTTTTGTACAGCCTGGATATTTGGTGTCTGTCTTGTATAGTGCTTTACAATATTTTTCTATAACCATGAGTTCATTTATGGTTCGTATCTAATAGTGGAGGAATGTTAATCTGTGTATTCCATTGCTGCAATAGATCATGACCCCATAAATTTATTGCTATATCAGCCACATATGGACTCAACCTTCCTCTCCATTCTTCTGGTCCTATACATTCAATCCATCTCATGCTCTGTTTTACCTGAGATGGGGTTCCAATCCCTAAGAATTGAACATTTACCTCTTGCAGGGGCCATCTTGGAGGCCAAGATTTATTAGTTATAATGATCACATCAGTGCCAATGTCAAGGATCCCTTCTACCTCTTATTCATCTTAACTCTCCATCTAGGCTTTGACTGTTTATAGAAGTTTGCCAAAATATACGTTTTTTGTTTCCTCCATTCATGTTTAATTCATCTTCCATAGCTAATCTGTCATCCACAGCGGTATGATTTTTTACGATAGGCACTGGATTTTCTGATCATCCTGGGGAAGATTGTCCTCCGAAGTGACTGGGAATGGAATTCCTTCCATATGTAAAACAAAGAGAGTCCTAATGTCCTGCATCATAAGATTATCTACCATTGGTATGGAACAATTGATCTCAGTTATTATATCAGCTTAAATTGCAAAGGATGTTGTAATTACCTTAGGTATAATTCTGCTGTCCTGGGACTCTGATGCTTTTGGTTACAGATATCAACTTGCAGTAAGTACACCTGGCCAGTAGGTGTGCGGGTGTACCACCAAATAGTGTCCTGCAGCAGGACATCCCTCCGATCCTGGTCCCTCTTAACAGGCTAACAAGCAAAATGTTGTTAGATGGGAGAGTGAAACCGAGCATTGTGTAAATTACTGGGAGCAGAACTACTGGAGACCTCTCACCAAGCAGGGCTGGGCTTGGAGCTCAGGGGTGGGCAGGCAGTCTCAGCCAATGTGGGGGGATGGGTAGCAGTGGCTATGAGTGCAGTCTCAGGGCCACCGGACAGTGGAGCTGTGGGGGAGGGGCGTTGCAGCCCAGGGCTGTGCAGCCCGCACTGTGAGCACTTCCTGGAGCAAGGAAACCGCAGACCACGGGTATTGCCGCATAGCTGGGGTGGGGGGGGGGAGGTAGGGGACAGGTGCAGGGAGGCGCGACACAGATGCCACCGCCTGGGTGAAACCTAATTCCCCAGATCCCGTGGAAATCTACATCCCACTTCTGACACCAGATACCATGGATAAATAAGAATCTGGGAAAACAAATAGGCTGATGGATGTTTATTCAGGAAAATTCATTTACACCAGAAACAGATGACTGCCAGCAGGTTCCCATCCCAAGGATGCCTCCGGATGCTCTCTGTCTCCGTCTCCAACGAGGAAGCAAGAGAGGGCTGGGGTCACACCCAAACCTGTCCCCACCCTCCAGTGGGCGTGGTCAGTGCAGCAGGTACGGGCAGGGTGGATATCTCACTACAATGACTATTATTATTACAAGCATGCAAACATACATGCATTTCTCAGGTGAGGGGGCATAGAAGAACACATGACGAGATTATAGCTCTGCATTATATTGTAAAAGCTGGTTACACAGGCAATTCAAAACAAACCACATTCTTACCCTTTACAATCACTGTATTTCTGTCTGATATTCAATTGCTCACAGTTGCAGTATTAAGAAAGGGTAAAACAAATGGCAAGTGATGAACATTTTAAAATACACATTATTCAGCACTTTTCCAGGATATGCGATGACTTTTTCCAATGTGCGAAATTCGACAGCTAAAAACATAGGTGTGAAGTGAATCATAATTAAATATTTTTCTTAATATCCCCAAAGGTAAAAATTTTGTGAGCTGTTGGCACTACAAGGTAAGTAAAGGTGAGGTAGCAAGGAGGCAAACACCCTTCTCGAAGCATCAGAAGGAAAGGTCATAATGCTGACCTTTCCCCTGCACCCTCTCCCCTGAAGAAGTCCCAGCATAGCCAATGCTAGGTCCCGGCCACCCAAATACATCCTCAGGCTTAGTCTATGAGGTTCACTTTACCACACATTTATCTAGATCCCTTCCTAGATAGAACCTACAGCTAGGTTTGGACATGGCAACTCCAGCCAGACACCTACGTGGGCTGAGAGCAACAGACTCCAGTTAATGTGCTGTGCGTGGGCTGGCCAACCTGTCTTACAAATAGCTCCAAAGTAGGAAAAAAAAAATGGTTGTCCTTGGCCCAGAAGAGATCAAGGATGTCAGAAGGGCGTTCAGCCTCAGATTGTTTGGGTGTGTTCTAGATTTAAAAATATGTAATGAGATGTACAAAGTCTCCCCACCAGTGGGGATATCCCAAGGTGGAAAATATTGCTAAGCCTTGCTTTTGTGGTCTATGCTGGTGACTCCGTGCTCTGTCACCTCTGGAGAAGAGTAGCATCAGATCTGAAGTAACAAAAATGTGGAGTACTGTAGAAACTCAACACCTCCAGAACCTAGCTGCATCGATGATTAGCATGTGCATGGCTGGGGTGTCCTCACTGCTTCTCAGGTATACTCCTCAGAATTGCATTTACTGCAACCAAACCCAGCTGGTGCCCTTCTGGTGTGATTAGTTTAGAAAACTTTGGCATATCCTGACTGAGCGTGATGAGGCTGTTTAGATTCATCCTAGTTTGTTTTATTTCATTTTGGGTTTTCTCGTTTCCTTCTTATTTGCTTTCTCTTTAGTCTTATCAGTGGGGAGACTGTGTTGTGTCTATGTATCCTCATTATTTCCAAGAGGATAATCTATCTCGGTGAGAACTCCTTTCAGTGGGAGAGGGCCCCCGAAGTTGTCTCCAGTAGCATGGAAGAAATCTTCAAGCTACCCTCTCTCCTCGTGAATGAAACCCAGTGGCCCTGCCTAATGCATCCTAAGTTCTTCAGGGTCTTCATGAGATCCCGGCGGAATCTCTCGCCCACAAATACGTAGAGAACTGGATTAAGGCAACTATGGAAGAATGCAATGGTCTGAGTGACCTGGAAGCAGATGTCAATGCTGGTGGAAATAGCACAGTTGGAGATGAACACAGTGTAGGCATCAACGGCCTGCACTATGAGGATGCAGTTGTAGGGGAACTGAGACATAATGAAGACAGTGAGGACAGTGATGGTCACCCTTAGCGCTTTGTGCTTGGAAGACTTCTTGGCCTGTACCAGGGTGTGAATGATGATGGTGTAGCAGAAGGCCATGACCACGAAGGGGATGATAAACCCCAAGGCGACCTTCAGGATCAAGACAGCTGATTTCAGCTTGGCGTTCTTATCCTTAGGGTAGACCATGGTACAGATGGTATTGTCAGATTCCCCACTGATTTGGCTATACAAGATTTCTGGGGTACAGAGCACAGCCGCCATCACCCAGATGATAATGCAAACCATCTTGCTGTACAGCAGCCTTTTCTGCCGCCAGATCTGAGCCTTCATAGCCTGTACAACGGCAATGTATCGGTCCACACTGATGCACATGATCAGTAGCACACAGCTGTAGAAGTTCATCTTGTATATACTGTTCACAACCTTGCACAGGAAGGTATGGAATGTCCACTGGCCAGCAGCAGCGATAGCCCAAAAGGGAAGAGTGGCAAGAAAGAGCAGATCAGCAATTGCCAAATTCAGAAGGAACGTGTCCGTCATGGTCTTCACTCTTGTGCAATACCAGTAGACAAGGATAACCAGGCTATTGCCCAAGGTGCCCACAATGAACACAAACCAGTACAAAGGTGGGAGGAAATAGCTCGCAAACTGCCTGACATTGTTTTTCTTACAGAAAAAGGTATTGGAGGTGAAATTCATGTAGTCTTCTGTGGAAATGTAGCTGTAGTCGTCCAACATACCAGGAATGAGGCTCTGCAAAGAATATAAGTTGCATTCAATCAAGGATAACTTTTGAGTGGTCTGATCCGATGGTAGATAGAATAACCTGATCCAATGCCAATTGCCAAAGCTCTGTGATAAAGCAAAAAAAGGGGCATATGTGTTGGAAGGAAGACTGTGCTAGGATTTCATTAGGTTTGAGTGTGTAAGTTTGATGGAGTACTTGTCACCCAATGCCATGGTTTGAGGTGAGGCCTACTGTTGGTTGTATAATGGGGCACTACCATGGAAGACATTAATAAGTTCTCTTTGGACTCAAGTTCCTGCAATAGTAGGTTGTCATAAAAGAAGGGGATCCTTGCCCTTGAGTCTCTCTTGCTGTCTTGATATATGACTATGTATTTCTTCTTTTATGTTGCTTTCTACCATATTGTGATATAACCAGGAGACAGGCACCAGAATAGATGAGGCCACTCAATCTGGGAGACCATCAGCCTCCCGAACTGTAAACTAGAGAAAAGTTTCTTTACACATAACCCAATTTAAGGTATTTTGTTAAAACAATAGAAATTGACCATTGGAAGAAGTGTTTATTTAATAAATGTTTCCTACCCATCTATAAGTTGGTGACTATAGTAACTGCTAAAGATACCAGGTAAACAAGTCTGGTTTCTACTTACTTAGAAGTTAACTTATTCATGAAGGATACAGAAAAGCAAAACTACACTTGTAGTCTGAATGGCAAGTATTCTGACATGATGGGAAAGAAAACTTTGGGACCACACACTATGTGAATTGAATGTGACACCTGACAGTCCTTTCTCCCAACTATTCAACATCTGCAAATATAAAAGTCACCAGGAGCTCATAAACTACTGGAGTCATGGCACCTCTGAGTTTTCTGACAGCCTCCGAAGTAAACATGCAACACAACACTTAATCTGCGCACACACATTTGCACATACACATCATGACATTCTCAACTACTTGCATAGATGTGAGTGCTATAGAATTTCCAAGGACCCTTGCTGAAAATATTGTCAAAAATTTCAAGACATTGAGCTTTAATTCAAGTATGAACATTCTTTTGTTTGTTTTTTAGATTTATTTATTATGTATACAGCGTTCTGCCTGCACAAACACCCGCAAGCCATAAGAGGGCACCAGATTTCATCATAAATGGTTGTGAGCCACCATGAGCTTAGGACCTCTGGAAGAGCAAGCAGCCAGTGCTCTTAACCCTTGAGCTATCTCCCCAGCCCCAAGTATGAACATTCTTAAACACATGGCCCCTATGTGACCACAAGGGTCATACACCCAAGGCAATGGTTCTGACAGGCACACACATAGGGCACAAACATTTGCTCACTCTCATATGCATAAACAGGCCCAGCCTCCTGCTTACTTGCACATCTACATACCCATACACACAAGTATACATGCATACACATATCTAGACATATATGCTCACATGTGCCATTGTACTTTCTGATAGAGAAGGGGGATGAATGAAATCCGGGCAGGCAGCTAACAGCATAGGAGGGTGCCAGATCCAAAGCATGGTAACCGTTGCATTGTTGAAGCCTCCATCCCACACCCACATGATCTCACCTCCTACCATCCCTCTTTGGGGCTCCCATTAGGCTTCATAACTTCACAGGGACTTTGAGTCACCAGTGTCTTGCCCTGGGGGATATTCTCTGCATTTCTTTCGCGAGAGGACAATCTCACCGCATTTCTTTTCCTTGAAACAAGTACAATAATTTTTCTTCCTTTCTTTCTTTTTTCAAGACAGGGTTTCTCTGTGCCTTTGGAGGCTGTCTTGGAACTAGCTCTTGTAGACCAGGCTGATCTCGAACTCTCAGAAATCCTCCTGCCTCTGCCTCCCGAGTGCTGGGATTAAAGGCGTGAGCCACTACCGCCTGGCCAAGTACAGTAATTTTTCAAGTCATCTGTCCATATTGAACTAGACATAATCTTTGTGAGGGTTTTGTTTTGCTTTAGGTAGCTAATATTAGTAAATATGTAGATATAATTGGTTAGTTTATGTACTTAAATATTCATATTGAATAATAAAATCCCTCTACTTTCTGTAAGCTGTGCTGTCTTTACCTGTAAAACTCACATAAGCTGCTGATGGCCAACCAGCCTTTCCTAAACTGTGTAGTTGTTAAATATTGGAGAATCTTCATATTGCATCTTTTGTCTTTGAAAGTCCCAATTATCCCAAGCAGATTAATCTCTGAAAAAGTCCTATAGGGCTTATTTTAATTTTAATTGCATATCAGCATGATTAAAGGCCCTTGAGATATTCTTTAAATATTTCCTTAGCAATGTTTCCTTGACTTATTTGAATATGAGGTAATATCTCTGTGCATGTGTGCGTTCATGCATATGCGTACCTGTATGCATGGTTTTTAAAAATCAGTAGGTAATAGGAGGCTGATGCAGAATTCTGAAGCTCACACCACTAAACCCAGCCTACTCTGAGCCTGGCTGGCAGGAAATAGCTTAAGAGCTCATTGTTACAAAAAGCTGAGCAGACCTCCTTTCTCTGTTTTATATATGTATTGGTCCCCAGGTCTGAGGCACAAGTTCTTAATTTAAATTAAAAGACTTCCCTCCGTGCTGTCATCTGAAAATCCAGCGTCACATGGACCTATCTCTGGTGCCAGCAAAGTCCTGCCAACACTGGGCATGGGACCAGGTGAAAAGTCTCTGCTCCCTGAGAAGGCCAAAGCCAAGCTGTCGGATGAGGGTCCTGAGTGGACTTTGAGAGAAGGAAGAGCTTTGGGGGTGAAATTAAACTATGAGCACCTAGACCCAGAACCAGGTTGGCAGAAGACTTATATGTGTGGAAGGATAACATTTTGGGAGAGTGTCAGCTAAACTATGAAGATGAGTAAGGATAATGATGGGTGATGTGAACTGCTTTTGTAGAGAGTTTTGTTGGTTATGTTTTGTTTTTTTGTTTTTTTTTTTTTGTTTTCATACTTGTTTTTGTTTGTTTGTTTGTTTGTTATGGTGATTTGAAATAGCTTTACTAGACTCTTAAATTGTCCCAAGGCTTGGAAGCAAATAGCAAATCCCTCCACATAGCGGTGGGGAGGACATTTCTCCAGGGCACACTCATTCACAAATGCAATATCCCAGGGCAGAGGCAGATATTATTGGGGTCAAGAAAAGGAAGGAAGGAAGGAAGCAGGAAAGAGTACATGATAGAGGGGTCAGCTCAAGGGGTGGTCTGGTCCCTGGTGAGAAGCATGAGGAAAATGGTGTCCTGGAAGATCCATGAGTAAGCTGGGAAAGGTGGGTCTCTGAGCAAACACAGAGAAAGAGCTGAAAGCCTCCTGCAGGGTGCTATAATACAAATATGGATGGCAAACATCCTGAGTCCCTAGGCCATCCAGATTTCCCCAGCACGAGGCATGGGGAGCCAGGATTTTTGTTGGGCTGGGATTAAAACACCTCCATCCCTCATGGTCCATCATCACTGTGGAGAGGCATGCCTTTTAACTGGGCTGCCTTTTCAAGTTTGGCTGTTTTCCAAAATCCCAAGGGAGAAAACCAAATGATAGCTATATCAGAAGCAGCCTGCTCACCATCAGTCCCTCAGCCTCAGAGACCAGGAGCCAAATTCACTACAGAGTAAAATCAAGGTTGCCTCCTCACCTCTAATAATGTGTGCAACCATATAAATATTCCCAGACAATGCTGAAGACATATTGGTGTGTTATAAATAATTTTGTTCACAACCTAATTCAGCCATCCCATTCTGTAAGTCTTCAAGGCATTTTGAAGGAAAATGTGTTAGTCCCATCGAGAAGGCGTGGTTTTGATTATATACATGTAAAACTTATATTTTCCCTTTTACAGAAGAAAAATAAAAGCCCCCAGATATTCTTGTAAGGTGTTTTGAATAGATTTGATTCTATAATTAATTCATCCTATACTCTAATTGCATTTTGTGTTCATTTTTTTTTAAATCTAGATAATGATTTGACCTGCTAAACTTGGTTCAGTTCTTGACCTCTCAGAGAAATACCTCTGTATCCTTTTTAAAGGGCTGTGTGCTGTCAAAAGCATAGAAGAACCCCCCCCCAAGGGGCTTTAAAAAAAAACAAAAACAAATCAAGTCGGTTCTCTATTGCTTTCTTTTGTATGAGCTTCAGAACACTCATGGGACAAAGCCGATCCTAGTCAAAGAGCATAAAATCCCTCAGCTATTAATAAAATCTAAAACTTAAACTTTCCGTCTTCACAGCATATCACTCCCAACACTGAACTGGTGTTCACAAAGAGAATGGATGTGACCAGAAGAAATACCTCACATAGTGATGGGCACTGCTGACAGAGATCTTACCCTACAGCACCACACAGGAAATCTGTCCCCATAGGAGATTCTTCCCCTCACCACTGTGCAGGGAAGACCAGAGAGTAGGTAGGTGTTTCTGAGGCACCTAAGGTCATGACTATACTCACTGTTCGTTCTGTGGGTGTCATGGTGGGTCAGATGCCAGCCAGCTTCTAGAGAGAAAGGGCAGAAATTAGAAAGAGTCCAGACTTACAGATGCACCCTGGGAGCAAAACACCGAAGGTGAAGATTCAACATTAAGCTTGTTTGTGTTTGTGAAAAAAAAAAGTCACACACACACACACACACACACACACACACATGCATTATCATTCCTGTCCCTTTTCAGACTACAGTGGCATATCAGAATATTCTTGAAAATGCAGAATGAAAGCAACAGTTTGGGAGTTACTATTTACTTCTTTATTCCAATAGACCCAGGGTTTAATGCTCAATTTCTTTTAACTTAAAGAACTAGTAAAACTTACATCTGTGGATGAAGAACAAACAACAGAGACTCTTGGGTAATCTTCAGCCTGTCCTTACCTGGTAGTTCACTTCCTCCTGGCTTAACTTCTGTAAGGTCTGGGGATATTGCCTAGGCATGAGCTAGCAATGCCAGGCCATAGATCCCTGAAGAAGGGTGTCCAGACACCCAGCTGGGGAGAGAAGCCCGGTTTGTGTGACCATAGTTGGACTCCTTTGTGGAGGGGTCTGTGCCTAGACAGCACCTCCACCCCAACCCTCCATCAGTACCTTGCACCTTGGTGCTAGATCCAGTGTGTTCTGCTTCCTTTTTCCTATGCCTTTCCTTTCTACCCTGCCTGTCTCAAAGTAACCATTCTGAAGAAGTTTGTCAGGTGTGTGTGTGTGTGTGTTGTATATATGTATATGTGTAAATGCCTGTGCTGGGGAAGGCCAGAAGTCAACATCGAGCGTCTTCATTCTCTACCTTTCTTGGTTTTTTTTTTTTTTATGAATATGGGTGCTTTGCCTGCACCAGATGCCGGTAGTGCCAGATGAGGCCAGAAGAGGGCATCAGATCCCCTGGAACTGAAGTTAGGGATGTTAGACACCTTGTGGGTTCTGGAAATCAAACCCAGATCCTCTGGAAGAGCAGCCACCAATGCTGAGCCATCTCTCTAGGACCTATCTCTTTTCTTTACTTTTTTTGCTTGTCCTAGGTTTTTATTTTGTTTCATTATGGCAGGACCTCTCACTTAAACCTGGAGCTCACTGTTTCAGCTATACTGGTTGCCTCCTCAGAGCTGGGGTTACAGAGATCATCACTACCCTTGGCTTCTACTGGTGCTGAGGATCCAAATGTGTCCTCAAGCTTGTACATCAAATACTTTGACAGCAGAGCCACCTCACAGACCACTGGAGAAGTTTGGCAGCTCCGTAAAAAGCCCAACAAATGCTTACAGTAATCCAACTCTGCTACTCCTAAGTAATTACCTAAGAAAAATGCAACCCTATGTCCCACAGAAGCTTGCACGTGAATCCCCAAACCAGCTTTGCTGGTGACAGCCAAATGAACCACCAAACTTTTGATAAGTTGCTGAGCATTCACAAGACGGGAAGAAATGGACTGCCACTTCACACAGTGCAGGAGAGGACAGTCAGGATGCAAAGGTGCATGAAGAAGTTTGAGCTAGAGGAAAGAGCCCCATGACCATGATAGCTTCACAGGGTAGGTAGGCGTACAAGAACAGGTTCTTCACTCTGCGTCTTTGTGGCTAATTGTTGCCGAGACTCCAAGGGGTCTCAAAATAAAGAGGAAAATAAGATGGGTCCCTTTTCTTTCAGGAATCAGTCACCTCCACTATCAGCAAGCCCACGGGAAGCTGCCAGAGCTCTTCCGCAGCAGCTCTCTCAAGCACCTTAGTGTCTTGTGCTGTGCTTTGGAAATGAGGGGGCCGCACAAACTCACGATTTTAAAGTATTAGAGTGGAGAGTGGGTGTGGTAGTAGCGCCATACTGTAATTCTAGCCCTTGGGTAAAAGAGCAGACTTGAAAGTTACAGGCCAGCTCAGTCTAATAAACCCTGTCTAAAAAGTAAAATTCTATTACGTAGGTATACTGAAGATAAACAAATAATAAATACACACAGCCTCTGTGTCTCCTGTATGTTTGTAATTTAAAAAGTTACCCCCAAAATGTAGGGGGGGAATGCCTTAAACATTAACCCCAAGACAGACAGAAGGAAGCCTGGAATGGGGCTAAATCTGAGTGGGTGTGGCCACAGTCTCACTGGATTTTAGTGTAGCTGGTGGAGGCTGGGGAAATGTCTCTAAACATACTGTTTTTGTTTTTACTTAAAAAATATTTTTATGGGGCCAGAGAAATAGCTCAGCAATTAAGAGTGTATAATGATCTTACAGAGGACTGGAGTTCAGTTCCCAGCACCCACATTACAGGGAGATCACAACCATTAAAACTCCAGCTCCGAGAGGAGCCAATACCTCTGGCTTTTATGAGAATGTGTACTCACAAGCACGCACAAACACACCAAAAAAATAAATCTTTTAAAAAATTTAAGTTTTTGGCAAATATACAAACTTCGAGAGAGGAAAAAAAATCAATCAAAATACCCAAACATTTACATCTCCAAATAACGGCTATATCAACTTCTTATTTTCCTCCCCAGCCTTGTTCCTATGCATGTAAGTACTTCTATTTTTTCTCTTTTTATTTTAATCAAGCAAGTTATGGCATTTTATCCATTACTGAGCATTCTTGCCCAGACTTCCAACAAGGGCTGGCCCATATGTTACTTAAACACTCTCTCTTGGAGTCTGATAACTTGTTTTCAATTTCTGTTTATAATTACTTTGAAATACTTCAGGATCAATAGAAATGGGACATACATTTTTTTTCTTCAGGAAAATTATAGTCTTCTCTCTTCTTCCTAAGTTTGAGAATCACAAATTCTCCCCAAGTTGCATTTCTAAGTTATTCTGGTATCATCGATGAATTTCTTCTGTTCAGCCACATTCCAGGTGTCATCAAGACATCACTAAGCCCATGCTAAGCTAGGAAATTCACACTTTTCCACTAAATGAAAAGTACCCCTAACTAAGCAAATGTGCTTGGGAAGCAGAGACCTGGAGGCGTGAGTCATATATCATTCAATATATATTTCTAGTACTAGTGAGTGGCTTATGTCATGTGACTTTTCTTTGTATGAAGAGCTTGAACAGTGATCACATGACATCTGAGAAAAGATGTCAGAAGAAAGAAGCCAGGAGAGGAAGGTGGATTTGGTTACAGAAAATTTTAGAGAGGATAGCAATATATAGCGGTGATGTTGGTACAAATATGAAGAAATCTTCATAGTACAGGGTGTGTAGCTTTGGGTATGGGTATATATTACCTTTTTTGGAAGGTAAACAGTATCAAAATTTATAGAGAGGGACACCTCTGCTCAGTGGATGCTCTGCTAAGAACCTGCCCTATTCTCTCAATGCTGGAGCATTGTCTTGCAGATCAAAAATCTGGAAACAGATATACAGCAGCTGGTCACGTTGCGATACACCTACTCCAAAACTACTACAGATAGCCAATTAAAAAGAGGAAGAGATGCTTCGAGCTAATTAAAAAAAAAAGAGGCCGCTGAAACTATTAGATCAAAATGTAAAATGTGCAATACTGCTTTATGATCTTTAAAGATAAAAGAGCTCGTACCCTTTGCCACTGGTTGGAACAGAAGCTCTCCTACAAAAGCCTGACCCCATGATCGTTGGTGGAAAATGAGTTTGTTTTCTCTTTTAAGTTTTTCGATGCATTATAATATAATATTTACCAGGTGTGTAAAATTGTAAGAGCCGTAGTAAAAAAATAACCTGTCAGCTCTTTTTTTTTTTTTTAAAGGAAGAGAAAGGAAAAGAAGTAGCAGTCAGTGATCTTCTGTTCTGAACACCTGCTTACAAGCCTGCTCCAGCTGTGGTGGAAAACAGCAGCCCTGCAAGAGCCATGCCTGCCAGTGCACACCCAGGTGCCACTGTCTGGGACTGAAATCCTGCTCCAGCTTCTTACGAAGGTTGGTCCTTCTTCCATTATGAATGTGCTTCTAGCACGTGGGAAGTTTGGAGAGAACCAAAGGAGAAAACTCTCAGTCCTTCCCGAAGTAGTGTGTGAAGACCACAGGCAGCCTTGGGGTTTTAAGTTGATTTCTCTTTAATCTTTGCCTAGATACTTGTCAAATGCATTACTATACAGCCAGTCTCAGAGCCTGATTTCATTTTCTTCTTGCCTTGAGAAGAAAGACAAAGAAAGAAGAAGGAAGGGAGGAGGAGGAGGAGGAGAAAAAGAAGAAGAAGAAAAAGAAGAAGAGCCCACATAAGACAAAAACACACACAGAGAGGGAAGGAACTCAACTGTCTTGGGAGTTAGAAGGCTTCAACTCACCGCTGACCTGTCCTTCACTCTCCTTATGGCCATCTTGTGGACACTCTAGCAGCTGAGTCTACACGGTGGCCTAAACAACAAGGAGAGCACTGGACCATAAATAGTTCCTCTGCCTTTGGTTTATCCTTTCTGCCATTGGGGCTTGGCAACAAGGGACATGCCCTCACAGAGCCTGGATCCCTCGTTTGGGAATCGAGGGCAATGACGGTCCTACCTGATCCCAGGGATTCATGCACAGTCAAGAAGCAGGCTATGCAAACACTCTGGTCAGAACGTAAGCTTTGTGAGAGCTGAGATCACTTTCATCTCACGGTCAACGGCCAGGTGTGCTGGACACTGGCTGGGCATAAGCAAGATGTGTAATAATTAACACTCTCAAGAAGCCCCAATTTCAAGTTCAGTGGGTGAGTTAAGGCTGAAAAATGGCAATGTCTGAAGAGGTTGTAGGAATGAGGGAGAGGGAATTCTGATTTCAGCACCAGGGAACATCCAGGAGGGATTCACTAAGGAGGTGACTCTTGTTGACCCTGGAGGTTTAAAGGGATTAGGTGAAGGAACATTGCTCTATGGCAGGAAAAAAAAATGCATCAACTAAGACATAAAACTTGAAAGCATAGTATTCAGGAGCCAGAGGGACGCTGATTGTTCTATAGAAGTGGAAAATGCCCTGTGAGATAGGCCAATCTGGAATTGTGCTTACCCTGCCATTATTTTCCTATCCTCTGTTTTCCTTAAGGGACTGACAGAAAAATCAGACGGAGGTGCCCTGTCCCCTCTCACATCCAGTGCTATAGCCATTCACAGGAGTTACAGCCTTAGGTCTACACTTTGACCTTTGTCCTATTTGCTACTCATGGGTTGAATCATCTCTTACATTTTCTGTGTGTGGTGTACGTGTTCTCATGAATGCACTCACGCAGCTCTGATTTTTTTTCTTCCCCCTCCTTCCTACACTGGATCAGGGACTCTGAGCCATTTTACCACAGGGCCCACTCACCAAGCCTGGGTCAGGGGTTCACTTCCCTGAGACCTATAAACATAAGCTCAGAGTATAAACAACAATAGACAGAAATTGGAAGAAGAGGGCTCTCGAACTCCAGGTGCTGGAATGACCACTATTTTGGGGTTGTTTGGCAAAGAAAATAAAGGGACAGATCCCCTCAGAAGGCAGTTGCTTCCAGCATAGCACAGCTGGAAGGGCAGAAACAGCTGCCCTGACCTGTTGGCTGGCTATAGAACTGACTAATTAAGAACTAAAGAACAGGTCTGGGGGTCATGGGGAGATGGCTCAGCAGTTAAGAGCAGATATTGCTCTTGCGGATCTGAGTATGGATTCCATCCACGTCAGGTGGGTCAAAACCAACCGCCAGTGTTTCAAACACCTGCTCTCCTCACATGCGCACATAATTCAAAGTAAAATAAGTTTTTAAGGTTTTTTTTTTAGAACTGAAGAAGGCTGACATACTGAAAAAGAAAGAACACACCTACTTTCTATAGATGGATCATTTAAAATAACAGCTTCCTTTCTGATCAGAGAGGAATATTTCCACAATGCACAAAAGGATCCAAAACCACAATGTGCACACGCACCTTATACAAAAACTGTTAAAAAATTAAAATATCAAGTATACTTTTCAGTTTAGCCAATGTTAAATTTCTGAGGCATATCTTTTTACTTTAACACCACACACACACACACACACACACACACACACTGGAAAAGTGATCACCCTACCCATAGTTTTATATGCATTTTTTAGTTAGTTTTTCTGGAACACTCTTCATGCACTGAACACAGTTATCACATGGGGTTAAACAACTGAGAACCTCATTGTCTGATGAGTCTACTGCACTACTCACTGGTGTCGAGTTTTTTGTTCCCAAGATTTTTTTTTTTTTCTGCAATAAATGTTCTTTCCGTGGTCAGCCTCTCAGACCCAAGGGTGTCACCCCTCTCAGACTTCTGGAAACCCTCTTGCTACCTGTCCCAACACCATTTCTCCTCCCCTTGAGGTACAAATCATCAACAGCGGCCTTGAACCTGGCCTTCACTGTGCGTCAGGAGGGAGCCTCATTATTCACCGTACGAGAACCCTGAACCATACTGGGCGTTTGTAGGAAGGGGCATGTTGCACATAACATCTGAACAAGTAAGTGCAAGCATGGGATGTAGATGCCTCAGTGGCAGCCAGGGCATAGAGGAGGGGAAGGATGCTACTCACCAAGAGGGGAAGTGCGGAGCCTGGGTATGGGTCTGTGGAGAGAGGACACTGCAGCTGTCTGGGATGAGGAGTAGGCTTCTGTGGGTTCTGAGCAGGAAGCTATCCGACACCAAACACCAAAAAGGAAGCCAGGCCAACTCTGCCTGTGTTGTCACTGGTGGAGTAACCCAGAAGGGTGGGGAGCCACCTGCTGCAACTTCCAGCAACATACATCAATCACTGGCAGCCAGAAATGCAAAGCTGAGAACCACTGGGATTAAGGAACTCCATCTTCGGTGTGGGTAGTGTGCATATGGAGTCTAAAAGCGACCCAGGAGACGTGAGGAGTCCTGGCCAGAGGCACCCATTTATGAGACTTCTTTAGGTGAAAGTACTGCCTGAACAGGCTTATGTGAGGCCTTGAGGAACTGTGTTGCCCAATCCTATAACTACTGGCCAAATGTTCCCACTGAAATGGAAACTACAATGGGAAGTAATTCCTCAATGACTCTCAGCACATGCACCAGTAGCCGCCACAGGAGGATAGTGCAGATACCTAACATTTCTGACGTGGCAGAGCACGCTGCAGGTGGTGTTACCTTAGAAAGCTGTGTGTGTGATTGGCAGCTGCGAACAAGATTTTGGAGGACAAGGGACGCCTTAAGTGCAGGGTTTTACACATCATAAACTTTAACATTGACGGTTCCGTCTTGATGAATCGCAGTCGTCCTGGAGTTTTGAAAAATCTCAGCACGAAGTGTTACATTTTCTTTTTAAGTAGAAGCTCACAGATGCTATCTTTTCAAAGGGGGCAGAGTTATGCTGAAGATTCCCTGTTGTCATTACTTTTAAAAACTCTTTTTTTGTTGTTGTTTTTACATTTAAAATATACAAATCACAGCTCATTCAAGAAGACTAATTTCCTCTTGGTGCGTTTAGCATCCTGTGGACTGAGTGCAATATTACTCCCGCAATCACCACCATCTTGTACAGAACAAAGGGTTTCATAATCTGTCCTAATTTATATTTCTTTGGGGAAAAGGCTAATAAACATATGAGAGAGAAACATGAGCAGTAAGAATGAAAGATAAAATTGATTCATCAGCCTCCAGAGAACCATGGTGTGAGTGAGCTAAGAAATTCCCTTCCTTCGCCCCACATTCATGAGCATAAATAGCGTCTACAATGGTATATTTGTCTTGTGTCAAAAAGCCAGAGCGCTGGTGAAGAATAAAAGTCAACAGGCCCTGCTGCAGATTCCTTCCTCCACATGGACACCATGGCGCAGGAGAGATCAAGTCTGGGAGAGGAGCTGCTCTCACAGGTTTCCTCCGTTGGGAGATATGGAGGAGGCTGGGGAGCCAGGAAGAGGCAAGGGCATCCCAGAGAGAGCTTCTGGATTCTCAGAGGAGCCCAGGGTCACTGGGGTGCCTTTCTGGTTGCCTAGTTTGGATCATCCCTTGCAGGGAAAGCTCCATCCTTTAGTCATGTTTGCTGGGCTTCTGCATTGGCTGTTAGAATTCAGAACTGGGCGAAAGTAAGAGGCTGATGATCCCCTTTTCAAAGGTTCTCTGTATTTTCACCCTGCTTATGGTGGATTCTAGAAAGCAGGACACTGTGCCCTCAGACACTCAGGCCAAAATTGCAGTCTACAAGTCCCTATAACAAAAAACTCAAGTCGGCCTTGCTGCTGAAGCCAATGGACTCCTCCTTCTCATGCTGAAGCCAATGGACTCGTCTGATCCCCCTTTGCTCCTTCTCATAAACCATGTTCTAGAATTCTCTTCTGGCAGAAAAGAAAACCCTCTTTGGTTCTTTGCTCTCCGGGTGCATCCACAGCCTGACTCCCTCTTCCTTTACCATCTGCGTTCATTAGGAAAGACACATTGCAGAAGCACATTGGAGTCTTTGGAAGGACGATGTGGTCTGTCTCCTTTTCACTGATTAAGGTCTTTGCTTGACCTGAAAGACAAGGTGAAATGAACCAGCAATGAGCAGTTTGGTGGTAAGGCTCTGCTTGCTGTGACGCAATGAGTTCCAAGTTCAAATTTCTAGGAGTATGAAGGGGCCCTTCTGTCCCTGCCCTGATCATAGTGGACAGGGATCGAGTGGACCCTTGGCTGTAGTTCCACAATTGTGTCCTAGAATTGCATGGAAGGACTTTATTAAACATTTCTGTGTAAATTAGGGGAAACAGAAGGAGGCAGGTGCAAGTCCTAAGAATTTAGAAGAGCTACTACCAATGCTTCAGAAGTAGCGAAGATGCCTCAAAGTCACACTGTCCAGCATTTAGCCACAAAGTTGCAAGAAATAACTCTGAAAGTACTAGGGCTGAGAAAATGGCCTTTTAAACACAATGGTTAATCCAAGCATGGTGGTACGGGCCTTTAAACCCAGGACCGAGGAGAGGCAGACAGATCTCTGAGTTCAAGATCAGCCTGATCTATAGAGGGAGTTCCAGGACAGCCAGGGCTACACAGAGAAACGCTGTCTTGAAACAATATAAATAAATAAATAAATTTAAATGTAGCTCATGACCACTCGGTAGATCATATAGGTCTAGCTGACCTGTTTGAAGATATTAATGTGCTCACCTTAGCAACAGCCTCAGTAGGGTTAGGGTGCCAGCCAAGCAGGGCTCTTGTCTCTGGGAACAGAGAAATTAAAGGGAGTATCCCATCCCTAAAAAGGTCAAAGCCAGAGCTAGCTCTCACCACCAGTTAGCATCCCTAGAACACCTGAACTCTTCAAAATCCTCATGTCCTGTGGTTAACCGGAAAACAAAACAACCAAAGAGTGCGATGGTCAGAGACAAAAGCAGTAACCACATGGACATCAGCAAGTGCTCCATCGGGTGGGAGGGTGCAGAGAGGTGGCTTTAGTACCAGTGAGTATGAGTGTACTCACACAGGAGCATGAGGGGAGGCTGGGTAGGGCTGACAGCACTGGATGTGGCCTGGCTGAGGTGTTGGAGGCCCTGGGGGTGTTGGAAGTGTTTAATAAGTCATCAGACAGAGAGAGGTCAAGAGTTCAGCTGAGTGCATGCTGGGTGAACACGCAAGCAAGCTGTTGATAAGGGGAAAGCGTGTCAGCCTAGCCTTACTGTGGGGCTGTGCTTGCTGAAGACTAGCACCTCCTCTGAGGACGGTAAAGCCAGTCCTGACAGGTGACATGGAAAGGCAATATGTTACATATTTCTTTTTTCCTCTTTTCCTCCTCTCTCTCTCTCTCTCTCTCTCTCTCTCTCTCTCTCTCTCTCTCTCTCTCTCGTCTTACTACACAGCCCAAAGGGTCTTAAACTCACCGTACTCCTTGCTCCTCCCCAGGGATTGCTCGTGTGAGCCACCACACCCAGCACTGAGTTCCATTTTCAGTACATCACTGGCAGCTGCATCTAAAGCAACAGGGGGGGAAAAATGCAACCCCCAGGTTTCACTGCAGACACTAGAAGCAAGAATGTGAATTATAACTCTTTGTGGCCACCCAAAGGCAAGACCACCTCTGAAGACCCTGGCAGCCCAGGCTGCAACTCCCTTCACTGAACCTGCAGAGAGGCAGGGGTAGATTCAGAGGCTTGAATCCCTCTTCAAGGGAAGCTAAGAACATTCACCCACAATAAGAAAGCTAATAGTGCAGTGAGATCTGGGGATAGCAAAATAGTCTTATTTATTTATAGAATATTTTTAGTTAATAGCCAAAATTTGCCTAAGACTCAGAAAGTGCTAACATGTCTTTCCCCAAAATAGGCATCATCTTCTCACCAAACACTGCCCTGCAGTGTGAGAAGTACCCTTGCTACAACCAGTCTCGCTTCGTTGCCGACATCAGCTGGTTCATTTCCATGACGCTGAAGCTCATTCTGCGTGTATTTAAAAGAAGGGATTTTTGAAAAGTTTGCAAGTTCCTTCTGTATGTTTACAAAAGTCCTTTTCATTCTATTGACTTTTTCGCCTCTCATAATGTATCTTCTTAACATTAGTAGTAACTGGTTTTGGCTTTTGGCTTGTTTTTAGCCTTGGAGGGTTTTTTTTTTTTTTTTTTTTTTTCTGGTTTGTTTGTTGTGTTTTGGATAGCTATGTGAAATACATTCCTGGACTTCTGCCATTTTAATTTGTTCTTGGACACTGTCAAACTTCGGAAAGTTCACACAGCTGTTCAGTTTCCCAGTGATGCCGGATTTTTTTTTTTTTTTGTTTTGTTTTGTTTTGTTTGTTTTTATTTTAATGAGATCCAATTTCTCAGTGATTTCTCTCATACACAGTACCTTTGCTGCTGTAGCAATACAAGTTGTTTCAGTCACAAGGCCATGGGGGTTTATCCTGTGTTGTCAAAGGAGTTTTGTAGTTTTCCATTTTACACGTATATGTATGGTCCATTTTAACTTTTTTTTTTTTTTTTTTGGTAGGGGGAGAGATTTCAAGACAGGGTTTCTCTGTGTGGCTGTGTGGCTTTGGAACCTGTCCTGGAACTAGCTCTTGTAGACCAGGCTGGCCTCGAACTCATAAGAGATCCACCTGCCTTTCCTCCCAAGCATTGGGATTAAAGGTGTGTGCCACCACCGCCTGGCCCATTTTAACTTTTGAGAAGGGTTCCTTGTCTGAACTCAGCGTGGGTGTGAATAGCTACTTAATTAGCACCAAGTGCTTTGGTCCTTTGTCAGAAACCACTGGACTCTGTTTCTTTAGGTCTAACTGGGTTATCTGTTTCTGTTCCCTTTTGCCAACTCATACTGCCTTGATTACTTAAAAATTTACTTTCAAAAATATTTGCCAGGCTTTTAAAACTCAGGAGCCTTTTGAAATTATTAGATACTTATTTACCCTCTATAAATAAAAACTAGATACTTCCTTCTCTCCCCACAACCTCAACCTCTTTTCCATGGTGCCAACCAGTAGGGATCTCTGCCACCACGCTGCTTGAGGCATAAAGGAAATATGGTTTAATGTGACTTAATTTGCTGGTGTCGGTTCAAACTTCTGGAGTCTTGCACTGATCCGTTTATTTTAGCTATATTTAAGCACAGCACAATTTGAGGGGAAAAGTTTCCTGATGATAATTAACTTCATCCCATGTGTAAAACAAAACTTAAGGCATGTTTGCATCGGAATTCTTTATTAAGTACATATGGCCTCTTCCATAAGTGGGGTCC